TGCCATAAGAGAACAGTCATCTGTGAAAAGTTCTTCAAGAATAAGGTTCACCATTGTTTTGGACCTGGTATTCAGTTGGTGAAGGTCGAAGAGAGTGCCATCCAGTCTGTACTTTATGTACACACCTTTCTGGAGATCACATGTAGCATGGTTCAAGACATGTGAAGAAGAGGTTGAATAATACTGGAATGAGAATGCAACTCTGCTTCACATCATTAGAAATTTTGAATGGCTCAGAGACATCCCCATTGTAAAGAATGAATGCTGTCATGCTGTTGCGAAAAAGTTGGATCTATGTGATGTTGTTTTTGTGGGGCTGACCGCCATTTTTCAGCTGTGACTCAACACACGACAGCGGAGACGTCCTGGTGATTTCAGTTTTCTGATGGATTGCTAGATGAAAAGTCAACGGCATGCATACATGGCGGCCAGTATTAATGGTGGAGGAAGAAACTGGGAAATTCCCAGAAAGAACCACTGACCCACGAGAAGCTACTGGCAAGCTTTCATACATATCCACATTCAACGAATCTTAAGACTCAAACCCAGCAGGCAGAGGTGAGATGGCAGTGATCCGTAACGGAGATTGCTTTAGACCACTCGGCCACTTACGATCTGATCTACTTGATAAACTTCCTAGGGCAACTGAGTTGTGCTAGGATGACCATTAGTGCATCTCTGTTGACAGTATCAAAGGCCTTTGTGAGGTCTATGAAGACATCATAGAATTTCTTGTTTTGTTCAATGCACTTTTCCTGTATCTGTTTCATAGTAAAGATCATGTTGATCGTGCTCTGATCTGGTCTGAAACAGCATTGGGCCTCCAGCAGTATGGCTTCCGGGACATTACCGACCAGATGGTTGAAAAAGATGCGAGCCATAATCTTGCCTGCAATCGACAGGAGTGATATGCTTCAGTAGTTACTGCAGTTAGCTTTGTTCCCTTTGTTTTTGTATAGGGTGACAATCATTGCATCTTTGAATTCCTGTGGCATGGACTCCTCCTCCTAAATGCTGATTAGGATATAGAGCAGTGCATCAAGGGCCTTAGGACCAGCTACTTTCAATTGTTCAACAGGAATTCCATCTGTGCCTAGTGCCTTGCAAGAGAAGATCATGTTGATGACTTACTCAACTTCTTCCGTAGTAGGGGGCAACTCCAGGTCCGAGATAGTTGTGTTTGGAACAATTGTGTCTAACAATGCAGATTCTACAGTGGCTGGCATGTTAAGTAGGTTGGAGAAGTGTTCCTTCCACCTTTGGGTGATACTCTCTTTGTCCTGGAACAGAGTGGTCCCATAAGAGATTAGTAGGGTACTGCTAGTTTTCAACAGTCCACAGACATCCTTAGGGATCTGAAAACCAATTTTGAGTTGGTAGTGTCTGCATAATGCTGGACTTCATCTGCTTTGTGGCCCCATCAGCTATTCTGCATAATGCGAAATTCTTTATGGGCTTTGCTCTGCAGGTGTTTGAAGCAATCCTGTTTTGAGACTGAGTCAACATCATTCTGCCATTCTATGTAAGCCTCTCACTTTTGTTGAAGGAGGATGCTTATTGCTTCATTAAACCGGTCTTGGTGGACTTTTATTTTGGGTCCTAGGACAACCTTCGCAGACTCATTCATCATGTTGGGTCACCAGTCAAAGGTCCATGCGCAGTCAGTAGGTTTTCAATGTGAGCTTGATATTGTTCTCATTTGCAGATAGTTCAGCCATGCAGTGTTGAACTTGATTTGGGTAAGCTTCATCATTTTGCACCATGGTGGGACAATGCTGAGATTAAAGATAGCCCTGGCTAATCGATGGTCTGTCCAACACTCAGCTCTCTCCAAGGCTCCTGTTATCCCTACATTGTTGACATCTGTTACAGATGATGAAAAAGTCAATCAGATGCCATTTTTTGGATCTGGGATGCATCCAAATCACTTTGGTGCCACTCGATAGGTTCGTATTTAGCGTAGTTAGAATTTTAAAGAAAAAGAATTTCCCCAGGTTTCCTCACTAGTTATACTGGCTATTTAAAAAAGACTTTCTACATCTTAGGTATTGTTCAATGAACCTTTAATTCCCTGGGGGTTTTTTTTAGTGTATGATTGATGGGTTTAATAAGGGTAGTAGAGTATACAGCTTGGCCTTACTCCAGATGTGCACCTTTCAAAAAAGTGCTAGCTCCTTACTCATTTTTCACTTTTTGAATTTCAGAGGTAAAAAAAGAAAATATAACTTTTTTTACATTTTATATATTTGGTAATTAAGAAGCTGATATTGTCTAGACTGGTAAAATTAATTTTTTCTATTTTAATAGCTGCCAAGGATCTATGTAAGTACCTCAAAATTACATCATAATTCATTCATCCCAGTCTGATTTAGAAAGAGAAAAAAACACTCCTATCAATTGATATTTATTAAAGTCACTGATGAATGGTTAAATAATAAGGTGAATGGTGAAATAGTTGCAGCAATAAAAATTTCACTGAAAACAATAAATGAACAATTCGCTCATGTTCACATCCAAGCCCTACCCTTCAATAAGATGTATCCAAAGTAAAAATACTAGGGCGTAACTCTTCTGAAAACAATCCAGGTAAAATGATTGGTCAACATGCATATCTTTTGCTAATTACCATAGTCGGTACCAAGTTTTATAGCAACCCACTAAAAACAGCAACTCTTGCAAAAATCAAAGTTGGTCAAAAGTACATCTTTTGGTGTAGACTATAATCTGCCAAGTTTTAAAGTTTAACAGCAATAAAAAAAACTGCTAGAAAAACTGAGAAAAAACTGCTAGAAAAACTGAGAATTGCTGAGCTAATTATACTGTTATAATGCATTATACTACAACACAACCAGTCATAACTCTGAAATAATTGGTTAAGAGAACTAATTTGTTAGTATGTGCATCTTCAGGTGATCATGATAATATTTAGGGCATAACCGATTAGCATTTTTCTACAGATTTCCAATTCAGGATTTTGGGCATGAAATTTTTCTGATTCTGGATACGATTCAAATTATCAAATATGCTAAATTAAAAGGTTTTTCAAATTAACTTTTTAAACCGTGTTACACACGTTTTGTACATCACACCAATGTCACAAGGGGAAGGATATGGCAGAACTATAGCAAAATGCAATGAAGTTCAAAGCCACAAAAAAAATCCATGAAATTTTTTTTTTGTAAAATGCATTGAAACATAAACATGTTTTGTACGATTGCATTGTTATACATAATAATTTGAAACACTTATAATTGTACAAAAAAAACTCACAAACTGAAATCGACTTGTTATGGTGCCCTCAGTATTTATTTTCCTGTGATATTGAACACAATTTGTTTGTCTCCACTTCCTCATAACATGTATGCAAATCTTTCAGCACGTCCACGGTCTGTATGCCGATGTCATTTCCGATTCTTGAGGTTTTGTTGTGTTGACCATATTGGACTTTTCTGACTTCTTATATAATTTTATTAACGCAATATTGAATGACACGCATTGTTAGACATGGTGCTATAGAAATTCAACTTTATAATTTTTATTATATGAATCGGTTGTTCCTGCCTTGTCTGACTCCGATTAATCAGAAGTTCATACTAAATGGTGGAATCTGATTTCTGGATCAAAATTTGGTTATGCCCTAATAATATTTATCATATATATGGCAATCCATTAAAACTGCAGGACTAGAGTCATACACTTCATTAGCCTACAAGACAAAAAGAACAAAAACTCTAGCAAACCTTTGAGATAGCAAAGAAATTTTTTTATATGCACATTTCAGGAAGCAACCATTAATATTTACTTAGTTTCTTGGCAAATCATACAAAAACTGCAGGACTTTTTGTACCGACAAGACAGTGTAATACATAGCATTAGACTCGAGGCATAGATTGCAATTAGCACCAACAAAATTTGTTGGAGCTAAGTGATTTGTCCATATGTGAAATTTTAGGCGACGATCCCAAAGTTTCAAGCAAAAAACTGCAATGAAGAGATTTTGTCATTACTACAAAAAAGCAAAAAGGGCAATCTAAGGAACAAAGGGATATTTTACATTCTGGCTTTTAAGTGATGATTTTGATATTTACTAAGTTTCATGTAATCTATTAAAAACTGGGAGACTAGTTTTACTAACAACTGTCAGACGGACACAAGGATTACTGTGTACCCTACCTTTCGAGGTGGGGATATAAAAAGTGTCTTGATCTAGTTTAGAATGAGAATGATATACTCTTATCAAAACAACAATATAAATGCTCTTAGGCATGACTTTATGGCTAAAATCTTACTTATGTTGGGAGAAACCAATAAGTAATCACTGGCAATGTTCAATCAAAAGTTTGGTCTATACATAAGGGTGTACTACAGGGATCTATTTTAAGACCCTTATTATTACCTATTTATAAATCATTGGTTTCTGTACCAATATATTAGGTCCTAATATCTTTATTAAAGAACTATTGCTTGTAGGTCATTTAAATCTGTGCTTTGTAGAAAATACAAAGTCCACAAAAATTGGTACCCACAAAATAATACAAGTATTGAAAATACCAGTGGGTAGGATGGTTTGGGTAATACTATATTAAATGGGATCAAAGGATGAGCAAAACTTTCAAGATTATTGATAATTGTGTTACTTTTTGTGGTCCTAAGCAAATACCTGTATCCCTCTAAATACATTAATCTCAATTAAAAGATCTGTCTTCTTTTTATCTATTGCACTTATTCTTGCTTATTATTGATTAAAAATTCATAACATAGTTCGATGGAAATACTGGATAAATTACTGAAATGAACCTGTATACAGCAAATGTTAAACTATATGAAGAAACTGACAGAACGTTTCTCTCAAGATTAGACTTTGAGTTATGTCCTTAAACATACTTTGGTTGGCCTTTCAAATTCAAAAGGCTAGAGGAGTTCAATTTAGATAGTGCCATAATTTTAGAAACATCAAAAAATATGGCACTTACTAGATTATTTTTAGAAACACAAAATCTGCTGCCTTAGTGGATAGAGTGTCTGCTTCACATGCAGGAGGCTGCAGGTTTGAAACCTGGCTGAGTCATACCAAATATATAAAAATCATACTTACAGCTGCCTTGAAAGACACTCAATATTAAGATGTTAGTGTTTGGACTGGCCAGACTAGTGTCAGGATAATCTAACTTGGTGGTATATAATGCTTCATGTCTGTGGCATGATGACCCAGTGCTAGACATGACTATAAACTGTCACTGCATATATTGTTGTGATATGACTAAAATTTTTTTAAAGCTATGTTAAAAATCCAAATCACACACACACACATTATTTTATAACTGTAAATCACATGCCATTAACTTTGGGGGAATGATATATCCCTCCAAGCTAAAAACCAATTTCACAGCTGTGATCCCTGACTATAATAATGTTGGGGTGAGGGGGAAAGGTCACAAAACTGGACAGAAATATAAGAAAGATCACATTGTGTTGGGGTAAATATTAAGAAAACATATAATTCAATCCATATAATAAGTTCCATGACCATACCCATGTTATATCACGAACCATGTTATATCAAGTTGTTCAATGGTGCTGGACTAGTTTAGTTAATTTTCAGAATTTAAGCCATTTCTTCATCTCATTAAAGTTGTTATGGCAAAACACTGACAAAGAACCTGAGAAGTATAAAATCAATTAAAGTTTGGTTTATTAAAGATGTACAGGTACATGGTCTGTTGGTACATGCTTCTTAACAAAGAGTGATAACACTTTATTTTCAATTTTATTTTTTTAAAGTTAATAACCAAATATGTGCTGACCACTCCAGTGGCCTGGTGGTTAGAGCGTTCGCCTTGAATGTGGGAGGTCAATGGTTTGAACCTGCATTGGTCCAAACAGCTTCTTTGCTGGGTGTTCAGCATTAAGAGGTTAGTTTTAGAAATGGTTGGCCCAGTGTCATGATAATATGAATGTGTGGGACATGTTGCTACATATCTGCAAGTTCAAGCCCCAGTGCTAGACATCCATACCTTTGACTCTACCGGTGGTAGGGAAAAAATACACTTTTAAAGACCGTCTACTGCACATACCGTTTAGTAGTCGAAATCTACCAATTTTGAAAATTTCACAGAATTTGTTGGGGTTTTTTTAAATGTTTTTTTTTTACACGTTTATCAACACATTAGATAAAGCATCCAGAACCAGTCTACTGGGAGCCGGAAATAATAGACCTATGATATAACTTGTGTGACCATGCATGATTTGTGTAGTGGAATTACAATTGTTAGTATGTGGACACAGAAGTGGTTAATTGATTACCTTATTGTTGTAATTTGGAGAGTTTAAGGCCAAATGTGGGATGTTATTTGAGGTGTTATAAGTATTAAAAGGAAGATAAAATGGAGACCGCCCAAAAATGATCTAGGCAGAAAAATTAAGTATTTTAATTTGATGTCTTTTAATTGTTATTATATGGTTCACGATGGTTTAAAATGAATATTTAAGGCAGCTTGTATATATTTTTTTCAATTCATGTCAAAATACAGAAACGTCTGCTTTCTCCTAATACTAAGAAGCCACCAGCTAAGAAATACTACAGCAAAGTTTAACAATGCTTGGATACCAGAATTTAAGTGCAGGCTAGTAACAAAGGTCCTGACTTTGCATTGTGTTTTTCATGCAAATTGGATTTTAAGGTAGCTATGGAGGATGAAACAATATCAACAGGCATATACAGACACCATCACATAGGAGCAACAATTCTTCTGTGACAAACACACCCACATTGAAGGCATTATTTGAGACTGGGTCAAAAGTTTATAAAAACACAGAGTAGTAGTGGATGACAACAATTTATAAAGCTATTCTTCGGAAAATCCAGAGAGATTCAAGGGGAAGTCTGGACCAGAAAACTATTGAGAGCCTGCTAAGTGTGAAGGATAACAATCACAGGGAATTTCACCAGTGGTCACCAGACAATGATCATCTGAAGGAAACTAAAAATGCCTGTGGATTGTATAAAAATAAAATCTTTGCTTGTAACATTTTCCATCAGTTTCTGAATCTTAATCATGTGCAAAATTGTATGTTGTATTATAATATGAAGAGAATACATATTTTGTGACAAAGTGAACTTGTTTTGTTTTCAATTCCCTTAAAACACGTAAAATTTATGCCAACAAAAAAAATCTCTCTTTTTAGAAGCCAATCTCCTGATTAAAATTTGTAAATCTACTGGTTTGAAATCATGGTTCTGTCACAGGTATGGACATCACTATAAACTACCACATCACAGACATTGTAGTGGATGACAACAATTTATAAAGCTATGTTAAAAATCCAAACTACAAACATTGTAATATTTCCATTGTGTCTACACCAGCGCTCAAGTCATACAGAACATACACGATTAATTTTCCTTCTCTACAATAGGACTTAATTTATACAAAAACACATAAATTGAATCCCTTTTATCTACACCAGTGCTTAATTTATGCAGACACATAAGTGATTAATTCCCCTTTTTCTACAACAGGACTGGCTGAACAAAATAATTTAAGCAGCAATGACTCTTTGCATTTACTCTGCAGGTTCACAGAACTATGAGAAATGTAAATCAATCTCTGCCACAATACTGTATTTACTGGAAGATCAGAGTCTGTGCTGCACTAACTATGATTTCAAATGAAATATCAATGCTAGTCACTACTGGACAAAAGGATTCTGTACCACAATTGCTTTCAATGACATAATTTATTTGTAATGTTGTACTGTCTAACCACAGATTATTTACTGAGCTTGAAAAAGATATGGAAAAGCCCAACAACAAACAACACACCAGCAAGAGTAACTGACTTCAGTTTTAATTTCAAAGAATATAAATTATATCAGTATTTTCATAAGTTCACATAAAGTAGAAAATAAATAGTAGTAAATAGCAATAGCAATAAGATATAAATATTAGCACTAATATAATGTATATCTCTTTGATAATTAGAGTGCCTATGAGGAGGTAATTCTTTTGGGAATTAATTTAGAAGATTGTGTTTGTTCCTATTTTTAACCATACTTTTAACACATTATTTGGCTATATTATGCTGCAGGAGTGGGAACGAAGAGTCTTTCCCAAGAACACACAGAGGCAGCCAGCTCAAACTGATTTTGGTAGGTATCAAACCCATGACCACGGAATAAAAGTCTGATGTTTTGAACAACTGAGCTACCCTAACTCCTTTCATTTATAGGCAATTCCTTATGAAAACCAATATGTCAGATAGGACATAATAGTCTTGTGTCATAAGTAAGAACAAGATGAATGGCCTATGCTGATACTTTATGCAATGGCAGATTTAGGTCTATTTTCTTCCCAAACAACTGTGCATTACACACAGGTATTCCCTAAAATTTCATCTTGTCCTGAGATTTTATATAAACTCTGTACATAATTTCTTGGCCAGGTTGACAAAAAATTGAAGTGGCTGATGCAGTTAAAAGCTTAATATCAAAAACAAATCTGGCGGATCAGTAACAAAAACATAACGTTCTGGAAGTCCAAGAACTTTTCATACCTGATTGTCCAACAGGCCAGTAAGGTATTCTAAGGAAAGAGGGAACACTTATAGAGTTTCTGAATAATGCTACACACTTAATGTCATTTGCTAGTTAAACAGGTTGGTTTTTCAATATCCAGCTTCTCTAAAAAGCCTTTAACTATGTACTTTCCTTTGATTCTGAGTCATTCAAATTTTGCATGACATAGAGTAGGTGTTCATTTATGATAGAACTTAAGTCCTTAGATATGTTCATCAACACTCTAAAGTTATCAATATCAGCTATGACACCTGATGGGGTAGCCATTACATCTGACAGAGTTTTGTGAACCTGACTTATTTTCTGGAATAGGGAAACATCTAGAGGCATTGGTACCACTTTGCAAAGTTCTGTAAAACTAGATAACCAATTATAGTAATCTTGACTTGTAAAATCTGGGTTGGAGACATAGTCTACACTGGTTGTTTGGTGTGCTGAGATGGAATCTGAGGATGCAGTTTTCAACTCCTCAGTCACTTTGGAGTTGAGATCTTTCGTATGCTCCTGATCAGATTCATTTTGACCCTGTGAAATATGGTCTTCGTCAGTATTTACGTGCAGAACCACTTCTTCCTGACATTCAGCAGAAGGAATCTCTTGAATGATCTGATAACTATACTCCACTGAGCCATCTGAATTGTTCTTTTCCCCAATACTTTCTACTAAGTCTGCCACGTTGGTTATGGTTATATAGGTCTGACCTTCTTCTCCTCCATTCTGTATCTCTACACCTTGAAGCTCAATAGGAACACTTCCCTCTGTCACTTCAAGACTTGATTCCTCTCCCATCTTCTCTAATTGGACAGTTTCCGTCAGATGACTATCTGGTGTCATAATGATGGTTTGGGCTGGTTCTAGAACTTTTTGTCCACTGTTATAATTATCATCACTTCCTTCCTTAGAACTGGGGGGCAGACTAATCTCAACAAAGTGAGTCAAAAATTTCTTGTCCTGGAGGTTTTTAATCAATTTAACAATTCTAGGCTGTTCATCACTAACAGATGACACAGCCCTTTCTTCTTCATCCTTGTAAGTAAATACTAAGGGTCCAGCAGAACCGTCCTTATCAAATTTTAAGGAAATGCCCTGAGAATGTTTTCTATTTAAGTGAGCTTTCAGTTGCCCTGCACGTTTGAATGTATCATGACAAATTTGACAGGCGTAGGATTTTTTGCTGGCATGTTCCCTTTCATGGCGCCGCCTGCTGGATGGATCACTGAATGTCACACTGCAGATGCTGCAGGCATAGGGCTTCTTTCCTTTAAAACAAAAAAAAAATGCAAGAATACGTACAGTACAAATACCCATCTGATCTACCTGAGCTACTTATAAAACTAGAATAATGGCAAAAAATTTTGCCCTTTTAAATACATTTCTACCTCTCTTGCAAGCTGCACCTACCACCCCATTAGAGAGATAAGCCCTACAATTAAAAAAAAATTATGCTTGTGTGTGTATAATGGTTTGTAAACATTTAATAATGTACATAATATG